AAATTTAAATGTGGCTAATACGTATTGTCTGTGGTTTTAAATAGCACACTTTTGACAGTTTACGACGCGAAATATAAGTTAAATATAGTTAATTAACTTTAACTACAGCCCGGACTTTCGAATGCATAGCAGCATCCGTGGCCACAGGGGGTTAAAGATGGAGGGTATCAATGTATTACTTTGTCATCGTTTTCGTAGTTGGTATTTGGAGAAACTAGCTGGGTCTTACAGATGTAACTCACGGTATCCGAACGGAAATCCAGGTGTTTCATAAAAACCGATAATTTTTATTCTGTGTGTTTATAGCTAAATATATAATTTCCTGACAATATCAGAACCACATCTGCCCCCAGACAGAGAAAAATTAATACAGACTTAGGTCTAGTAGGCAAACTGAGCCTGTCTATAAAATTAATGTTGTATTATAAAGCTGTCTAGGCAATATATGGCTTGTGGGCTGATATTTTCAGTCGTATATCGCTGTATTTGCGTCGTAATACTCCATTGAATCAGTATGAAGTTTTATATTGTAAACCTAGTGATGCACTTGAGACTATAGGATATGGGCTTTGAATCCCGGGTATGCAACTTTATTCACTATGGCTTGAAGCAAAAAAATATGGTCTCAAGCCTTTGGTCCTATACGCTTACAGCAAACTGAAATCTAAGTGGCAATTTTGGTGCACAAATATAACATTTAAATAAAACACTTAATAATTTAAACGCGAAATATATTAGTTATTTTTATCTACAGAATAAGGTTTCGGATATTAATTATTGGCACCAGCCGTGGACACGGGAGGACGTCAGGTCGTAGTAATAAATTAAAAAGAAGTTAACTAATGTACTTCGCGCTTTATATGGTTGATAGTGTTTTATTAAAAGCTATTTGTGCATCAGGCTTTTAAAGAGTTACTACAGACTGAGAATATTGAAAATGAATTTGACGTACCTTCCAATAATACACTATTGTGCAATCATTCTTTTAAAAGGTACTTAGTAACGAGTGTCAGTTAATCATGTCTCACGTGTTTAATACGTCACAAAGTATCGCAAAAAGTATATAAAAACTGTTGTACATACATTATTCAAATGTTTGTATCTACAAGTTACTTGTAAAATAAACGAAAACAATAAACAAGAAACTCTCCGGCACACTTCGCAAATCGAAGTATAATAAATAAACTAACAATCTTGGAAGAAGTAACTTAAGTATTGCTTCTGATTGATAATTATATATATACATATCATATAGCAACTTCGAATCCCGTGGTAATTTATACCAACACTTGCTAATTTTTTACATAAATAAATAAAATGCCAGTCTCATCTGTTCCCTACAAGCTTTATACAATAAACAAATATTAACTCATAAGTTGGCCAATTAAAACGATAAACAATGTAGGCTCGTTCAACAATTTTAATTGCGATGTGTGAAATACATACGTTAATACTTTTAAATCATCATCATTCAACGACGCTTTCATTTATTAATTATTTTCCTATTCAATTATTGGTAAAACGTGAATCGGGTTCCTGCTAAATTGATATCCGTAAGGTTACAACGAACTAATTGCAATGACATTCATTCAAGTTAAAGACAGACGAGAATGGAATACAGTAGATGGAAGATGAAACCCCAGCCACATCACACGTAAACAAGGTGTGTTTTCGACCTATTTTTGGCTTTGGACCCTTTTTTTTTCATCTACAGATGATAGTTAGTGATCCGGACGGAATTCGCTATTTAATATGCAGTTTAGATATTACACACAAATTTAATCTGATATTTTATGACTAGGGCAGACATCAAACCTCATTCGTGTACTGATTGCTCAATAATGACGATAATCATATTAATAAGTTCAAATATTTATCTTGTTTCCAATTTAAGCTTCTATATTTCAGGGATAAGAATATTTTTTTTACAATTATAGTCTGTGTTTTAAATACTATATTATAGAAAGTGAAACTTCCATTCGTTTAAAAATTAATACGAAGCTAGTGTAAATAAAACCGTAATAAGTACAGTACAGGTGCTACGCTAGTATTGAAAATCGTAATAAATTACGTAATGTAAAATCGATTCTCGAGTAATTCGAGCCACAAAAACGCCGGATAGAAAACACTCCAATATTATTTTATTGGGCGCTCGGAACGAAGAAAAACTATATTGTTTTCCCGACTCACACACTGACAGTTATTAATGCGGCCTCAGACCGCGTGCTTACACCGCTTCCATACTGATGGAGCGTCTTTTCGTCGACGTTTGGCTTAATTCCTTCCATCTTGTACACGGATACCGGTCGCGGATGTCTTAGACAAATTCCCTATCATCTACTACAAGATGCTACTATGTGTCAGAGATCGTGGGTAGTATACGTACCCTCTCCTTCGATGACCAACATTTGACAACATCAACATTTATGATTATGAAACGTCGACCATGTCTTAATCACGACTGATGAACAGCTCAAAAATCAAGCGCCGATGAATACACACACTAGCTGTGCTAGCGACTTCGTTCCCGTGGAATAGTTCTTTTGGACATCATATTTATTTTTTTTATAAATTATGCAGCTTTATAAATTATGGCTATTAGCAATTTAATCCACAATAAAAGATAGACATATAGTTTTTATAGCCTAAAGACTTTCTTAATAAATGCTCTAATCGAGACAAAAAGAATTTGTCAATGCGAACCTTCTTGATATTAGCGCGTTCAAACAGACAAACTATTCTACTTTATATATTAGTATCGAGATTTTTATTTTTAAATAGATTTACATTGTTTAAGTTGTACAACACTTAAAGGTCGTTTTCCCCTAATGAGAGAGCCTGTTATAGCGAACAACTAGCCTATTATTCCCCTCATCGACAGATATTAATGCACGGTCTCTCGTTCCCGGATCGATGTGTGGTATTAAGTACCCCGGACGCGGTGTCAGCGCTGCGAGGGTTGCATACTGATGCTCGTAACAAGTTCATAATAGATTTTGCGTTTTTCACGCGAAATACGGTTCAATTTTTGTTTTCATCTTTTTGGGAATTGTATTTTTGATAGAGTGTATGATACGAAAAATGAAAATTTGAATATGTATTTTTTAAATTATATCGTATGAAAAATGCTACTGTACGTGTTGCTAGCTGCGCGAACAAAAATTTTGAGATCATTTAAATCATTTAACTAACTAATAAACGTCGATAGAGATTTTTACAAACGAGGCTAGTAAAACGTAAAACGACATAGTTCGGAAAAAATTCACAAAATTTAAACAAGGTAATTAATTATTTCCTCTTATTCCAAATCTAGTACAAATTCCATCTATGTCTACTAGATATGATACGAAGTAAGTACAAAGAAAAAACGACATCAATTAATCAATACTCAACCTTATTTCTTTAGTAAATTGTAACAGGAATACTCGTAATATATCGTGTCGAGGGCTAACAAAAAAGGGTATAAAATAAAACATGATTAAGTCAAAGACACTATAAATTCGAGTAACTGGTCATTACGGTCCGAATAAATCCCGGGACTTACATACGAATTACGATATCCCAAGAAAAATATTAACTTTAATGGCCCCCCCGCCATTGTTATGGCTGAAATAGAGATAGTGATAGAGAGATGTAGAGAAATACGTTCGCAGGTGTTCCTATATCAAAAATGACATGATTTATTATGGCTACGGTATATGAGGCTGCTAGAAGCAGAGTGGCCTAATAATATAAAACATGATTTTCAATAAGGAGGAAAATAAAATAAATTTATATTTTTTCTGAAACATGTTCGATTTCGTCCGAAAGTCTGACTATTAAATGGGTGTAAAGAATATCGAAATTCCATCTAAGTCACGAGACACCGCCCACAGATGAAAAAGACGTGAAGTAGGTAAACAAAATATAATTTCAACCTGAATTTCGACGTAACGAAAAAACATAGCGCGACTGTTAATTTAAAAACAAACATTCATAGTTTCACTTTTTGTACGTGCTGGAAACCTCAAAAAATACGCGGATATGTAAAAGACCCTTTGCCCTTATAGACAATAGACTACGGATCGAGTTCAACTACAAATAGACTGATGACTACGAGAAATAAGACAAAAGAATTTGCGTGTATTTTCTCGTTTTTTTTTAATACAAGTATCGGTCAAAGTAACGTATAAAGTTAGGTAAAATTTAAAGATTAAATATTTTAATATTGATGCCTGAAATTGTTTTCTATTTAAAGTTTGACTAATTTGATTCGCTGAATTACAGTAAAAAACGGTTAAACTCAATTTAGTGTTGTACCCACGCAAAATACGTAGCGCTAAAATTGTTGTACTTGTAAATGCTGGTGACAATCTATTTCGTTGTTTTAAAAATAAGTTCTTAATAGAAACAAAACAGCTGTTAACAATTCGACCAAACAGCGGGCGGGAACGCACCTCAAACGTGGAGGAGATATTTGAGAACTGGTAGTAAATGTAAAATTAGAGAGCTTTATATTTTAACAGATGGTGTAAATTTATATTGTAAGCCCACGTCCGGCAATAGGGGCGAGTTGAGTATGGTACATCGTACTACATTTAACGCATCACCAGCCTGCTATGGTGCTTTCGAGGGAGCCCGGGGAACTCGTGGGGACTCCAAAGTTCACAGCAAAGTATACCTAATCTCAACTACATGAATAAATATTTTTTTATTTGATATGATTTACAATTTGACGATTTCACTTCGTCAGGTTGTGACTCTACGAATATATTAAATATATATTGAAATATAAATATTACGCGTTAACACGTCAAGGTGTGCTCTCATATTTATCGTAAATTAAAAACATTTCTTTAGTTTGGAATATAAAACTTTTGTGTGAAGTGATGTGGTAGTACCCCAGTGCACCGATTTCGCTAATTTTCCTTAATACTTTCTTTATTTTAAGGCAATTTTCATATACTCACGATAATATATATTTTTAATATACCACAACTACCTACATACTACTGTTTACAATGGATGAACTGAAGAAAACCTTGTTGGATGTCTCCGACATGGTGTCTTTGAAGATGGAAGAGTTCAACCAGCGCCTCCAAACAGTCAGGAACGCTCCATCATCGCCAAGCAGTCATGAAACTGAGTCATGCCCTCTAGCTAAGGAGTTTGAAGTGTTCCGTAGCTCGGTTCTATTCTGCCTTCAGAATCTCCAGACTCAAATGGAGATGCTTTTTAAGCTGCAAGACGAGCAGGAAATGCGGAATCGACGGAAGTTCTTACTGCTGCATGGTGTGAACGAGAACAAGGAAGAGAGCCCTAGCACAGTTGCTAATATGATAGCTGTACTACTAAAATTGCCTGAGGTAACCGAAACTAGTTTGAGTCGCTGCACCAGGATGGGTTTTAGAAAAAGCAACACTCCTCGTCCTTTACTAATCAAGTTTCATGATGTTGAAGTCAAAAATAAAATCTGGATGGCTAAGACTAATCTCAAAGGCACGGGCATAACTTTATCTGAGTTCCTTACTAAGACACGCCACAAACTATTCATGGCTGCCAGGGAAAAATTCGGCGTTTCTAACTGCTGGACTCGAGGTGGCTCCATATTCGCTATTGGGGAAGACAAAGAACGTCGCCGTATCACTTCCTTGACAGATATTGATGACATTCCTAAAAGTACCCCTCCCGTGCAAGTGAAGTCTGATCATTCCACCTCCCGTCATGCGAAATTACATACAAAAAAGGCCCCGTCTAAGACATAACAACCACGGTTTAGTGCTATTAATTAAGTTCAGCCTGAGTGTATGCTTAGTGCTTAGTGTTGTTAACGAAATAGTTTAGAAGGTATATAATAGCAGGTAACAGTGTATACATTAATTTAGTAAGCTATTTAAATTGACATATAAATTACAGTTTCTTCTTTTTTTATACTTTGAGTTATTAACATATTTTGTTTTGTTTAATGGTGCAACTCATTGTAAACAATGTCCTATGACAGTTAACTCAGTATGCGCAGGCGCATGCGCAAGTGTTGCCACCACAAAAATTGTCAGCTGTCAGTAAAATTTATAGATTATAACATGACATAGATAATTACACTCTTCGTACTGAAATATCATTACTAGTGTTCTTGTAGTTTTATTTTCGTTATTTAAGAAGCGTTATTTTACTTTATTAACTTTATTTTCGTACCATTCAATGTGTTATTTTTTACTTTTAATTATACCTACTCTGTATAAAACATACTTTAACATTGTGCTTGTAATTTTATTGTATCAATGTTTTAATGTCGGTTAGTAATTAGGGTGCTGTTGCCTGCTTGTAAAATATATAAATTGTGTTTCTTTGATAACTATGTAGCTAGTAGTTGTATTCGATACTTTTAATTTGTGTCAGTATTTTTTTTTATCATTGTTATAATTTGTGTTATCACAATAGGAAAAAGTTTGTATTTTTTATAATTTAGCGGAATGTGCAAGTATTGTATATTATAGTAATATTTAGTCGAGCTAGTTTGTAAATTACTCGTATACAGATTTATTTTTTCTTTGTTTAATTTTTAACTCTATGATTAATTACGATAGTGACAATTTAGATTATGTTTCTCTCTCGTCTTCCGATGAATGTTCGTTCCATAGCGCCGACTCCTCTACTCTTCTCCCATTAGAAGTAACTCTCTCCTCCCTTTTTGATAACTTGCCAAAAAAATTTAATGCTATTCACATCAACGCGCAAAGCATTCCTGCGCATTACTCAGACCTACTATCTTCGTTTATTTCAAATAACATCCATGCTGTATGTGTTTCTGAAACATGGCTTAATCCCTCTCTTCTCTCTCATAATTTTTCTCTTCCTGGGTTTAACTTAATCCGAAATGACAGAGTTGGTATGCGCGGTGGTGGTGTTGCTATCTACTTGCGATCGCACATCCCTTTTACAATCATAAGCCAATCACCCCAGCCGCCTCCATCGAACGCGGCTGAGCATTTACTTGTAGAAATCCTTCTTGCTAAAACTAAAACACTGCTCGGGGTCTTTTATTCGCCTTCAATGTCGGTTGATTACTTTGCAAGTTTCGAAAGTACTCTTGAGAGATTTGTTCCTTTGTATAATAACACATTACTCATGGGTGATTTTAATACTTGCCTTATCAAAGACGACCATCGATCAAAGAAGCTGCTTTCGATTTGTAACTCATTCAATCTTCATAATTTACCACTCAGTGCGACTCATCTTTCACCTGGTTGCAATCCCTCCTTACTTGATTTAATTTTTACTTCCTCTCCTCACCTTATCCACAAACATGGTCAGGTTCCCGCCGTTGCCTTCTCCCTTCACGATCTCGTGTTCACTTCCTTAAATATCAAACCACCGAAACCTAAACCGCCTATTGTTCTTCGCCGCAACCTCAGCGGAATTGATCCGCAAGCGTTATACACTGATGCTTCATTGATTGATTGGAGTGGCATGTATTCATCAGAGTCTTTGGACGCGAAGGTTGATTTGCTTAACGACGCTATCACCTGTCTTTACGACAAACACGCACCATTGAGGCCCGTTAAGTTGAGACATTTACCTGCTCCGTGGCTTACCGAAGACATCAAAATTCTAATTAATAAAAAAAATAGAGCTAAGGCTAAAATGAGAGCGGCTAAATCTGCAGCTGAACGTGATGCTTACAAGAAAGTGCGTAATCGGTGCAACACTCAGTGTCGTGATGCCCAAAGACGCCATATTCACGAATCTGTGGCCAACGGCGATACATCCAAAACCTGGAAGTTCCTAAAGCGCCTGGGTGTAGGCAAACCCTCTCAAACTGTTATTCCCTCCTCTTTTGATTTAAACAGTTTGAATTCCCACTTTACGTCTTCCTCTACCCCTAAAGGCTTTAATTTAGATTATTCTTTGCAAAATATATCATCTCTGCCTATTCCTGATTTTGTTCCTTTTTCCCTTACTTCTGTTACTGAAAAAGATGTCGAGAGGGGCATTTTGTCAATTTCATCGAATGCTGTTGGCTGCGACTTGATTAGTCGTGCTATGATCTTACCCATTCTCCCAATCATCCTTCCTATCCTTGCCCATATATTTAATTATTCTATCTCCTGCAGTACATTTCCCAATGCCTGGAAATCCGGTTTGGTTGTCCCTATTCCCAAAAAGTCGAATCCTACCGATTTCTCTGACTTCCGCCCCATCACTATCCTCCCCTTTTTCTCAAAAGTTCTTGAACGTATTGTCCACCAGCATCTTAGCGAATTCCTTAATAAGAACTCTATCCTTGATCCACTGCAGTCTGGTTTCCGTCCCGGTCATAGCACGTCTACTACTCTCGTAAAGGTCGCCGACGATATCCGCCAGGGAATGGATGGTAGGCAGTTAACTGTATTAACATTATTAGATTTTAGCAACGCTTTTAATGCTGTTAATTTTGAGCTTCTACTTGGCCTTCTCCGTTCTATTAACATTTCTCCATCTTCCATAAACTGGTTTTCGAGTTATCTTTACGGTCGTCGCCAACGTATCAACGGGGGAGGGGATAATATTATTTCTGAGTGGAACAATGTAACGGCTGGTGTTCCTCAGGGAGGAGTCCTCTCTCCTCTTCTCTTTGCGATCTTTATAAACTCCCTAACCTCTCGTCTTGCATCTTGCTATCACTTGTTTGCTGATGATCTTCAAATTTATTCCCAATCTTCACTTGAAGATCTTCCTCTTACTATCCAGGCGACAAATGATGATCTTCGTAAAATAGAAGAGTGGTGTAAAGTTTTTGGCCTCAAAATCAATCCTTTGAAAAGCCAAATTATTGTTATAGGTAGTTCTTATTATGTCTCGAGAGTAGATTGGGCACAGTTGCCCTGTGTTCAAATAGAAAATGTAGCTCTCAACTTTAGTAAATCAGTAAAAAATCTTGGTGTGTACTTTGACCAAACCTTCTCCTGGGCGTCGCATGTTGAGCAAATCAGTCGTAAAATATATGCCGCTTCGAGTATGTTAAGACGACTCAGCAATTTCCTTCCCATTCGGACTAAAACTACTCTAGCACAAACCCTTCTTTTACCACTGCTTGACTATGCTGATGTATGCTCTACGGATATGAATGAAGAACTATTAGATAAGCTGGAACGTCTGCAAAATTTCTGTATCCGATTTATATTTGGACTACGAAAATTCGACCATATTTCTGCGTTTCGTAAAAAGTTAGGGTGGCTGTCCATTCGCCTTCGGCGAGACTCACATGTTCTTCAGCTCCTATACTCTATTCTCTTCGCCCCAAATTCTCCCCCTTATCTTAAATCTAATTTTAAATATTTGGGTCCCTATGGTAGTTATAGTTTACGATCATCGGACCGTCATATTCTTGAGGTTCCTTCTCACAGCTCCAATTTCCAAGGTAAATCCTTTCAAATTACTGCGATCAGACTATGGAACGCCTTACCCGTTTCCATACGCATGGCTCCTTCTCTCCCATCATTTAAACGGCTGCTTTATAAACATTTCCTGTCATCTGTGTAAAGTCACTATCTATTTATTTTAAATATATTTAGTCCCTTCGTTTAAGTTAGTAAACATGTAACCTTTTTAGATCTGTATGTTTTTATTTTAAGTTCTGTTTTTTTTTTGTTTATGATTATTTATTGTTTGTATTAATTTGTTTCGCCTACCTTGCACATCTCAATTTCTTAACATTTCATAACTTAAGGTTGCCTGGAAGAGATCGCTTGTTAGCGATAAGGCCGCCCATTGCTCTCCATTCTAGTATATAGGTTTAATTTGTAATATTTTTATTTTTTGTGCAATAAAGAATAAATAAATAAATAAATAAATAAATATATATATATAAACTCGCTATAAAGTTTTGAAACGAACGCAGGCGTTAGAACGCTTAACATTGCCAAATGGGACCAAATCCCTAATTAGGCAACGCCAAGACTGTTCTGTCATCTATCTCCCGAACTCGTTAGTTTGTATTACATCAGACCGCTTCGATTCCCGAAATGACGTTGCAGATTCCGCCCTAATTCCGGGTCGGATATATAAATTATGTTTGTGCTTACGCTTGTATGTCATAGCGATTTGTTCGCGTCATTAGGTCAACGTCTTCCTAAAAGTAGTGAATTTGAATAACAATGAAATAATCACACTGTATTTTTGCAACGTTATCTTTTTCAGCAAGTCTATATTTTTTAGGTAAACACAAAAATTATATTTTAACAAAAGCGTGGCTAATTTAGGCAAATCATTGACAGCTCTACTTTCTATTATAACATGTCATTTACTAAAAACATGGTATTGTTTTTGTTTAAATATATCTAGTATATACGCAACGTAAAAACTAAATATATTATAGAATAAAAATATTGTTAGAAAACTAAGGAATACGTTTGCTGAAACTCCATGTCATTAACCCTCTTAATAAGTGATTTCCAACCTGTCTCTTTGAAATATAAATGCGCCAAGAGCAAACGCGTCGAAGGGTGTTTGGCCCATCACGCCACAGTTTAGCATACAAATAAACCTTTCTCTTCTATTTGTGTGAGAACCCGTTAAAACTAAAATAGACGTAACACCGCTTTGGGGTTGAGCGATTATCACTTTCGTTAGTGGGTTATTTCATTATACCACGAGCCTTTGTTGAAATTTCCGGATTCGAATCGAGGCGAAATAGTTTTAACACCATAAAATTATTAACTAGCCTGTTATACATAGACAAGATTAAACATAAAATTTTATTAAAACGCCTTTAATATACTTAAAC